ATATGTGCGGGTATTTCCTCTCCCTTGTTTTCTTACTTCTGACATATTGGTACTGTTTGGATACGGTATAATGAGCTAAAAACACTGATTATTGTTAGTTCAGTAACTGTATCAAAAACGGTGGATTCTGACATCAATTAAAGTGAAATAAAATAAGTAAGAAAATATGTTATTCAAAAAGCGATGCGGGCTGCCAATTATTTACAGATCTTGGCACAGAAAGCACGGCCGGCCTTATTATGAAAAGTCAAACCCTCTGAGCTCCACTTGAACAAACGCAAACACCTTCAGCAGAAGGCCTGAGAGAGGGCAAAGAAGGAAGTGACAGGATAAAGAGCAGCGATCCCTTTCTCCAAGCTGTAGCATCCGCTGAGGAAACTCTAGAAGACAGGGACACAAAGATATGAGCGCAAAGCTCAGGAATGGAGGATGTTTGACGTTGTTCCCAGCATTCCCTTGTCCCAGCCCCTTCCCCTCCAACACACTCCCCAACACTGATTGAGCTGTTTGTGTCGCCTCCTGTTATTGTCGCAGGAGCTCCGAACAGTTTACTCCACGCTGCTTCCCTGGCAAAACTCTGTCTGCTTTCCCACCAGCCAGTGCACATATATGTAACAAAGTGTAGCTGAGGAGCTGCAGAAAGACTAAGAAAAGGAGGAAAGGGAGGTTTAGCAGAGCCATAAGTCATAATACAAGTGGGTGTTAAACAATGAAAACTATATTTGATTGAGGTTCACAAAGGTATTTCCTGACATAACTTTGAAATTACGTCTCGCAAGAGTGGAGCGGTCACAGGAAGGGCTGCAAAGCTATGAATTTGTTCGAGTGTACAGATTTCAATTTGCTTCTACTTTGGGTGCATCTTTGACTTCGTCTGTCTGCTTTTGTCCTTCATTTTCTCTCCTTCATGGCTGAGTAACTTCCTCAGCCGGCGAGACAATATTAGGACGTGGATTAGCACGTTTGTGCAGGCATTACGCAAATGCTTTTCCAACTTCTCCCTTGAACTAAATGTTTCCAATACATTTTTATGCCGGAAAGCACAGCTTTCAAATTTTAGGACTGTACCAGGTTTTTTCCGTGACTGTGGAAATGCTGCATAGACCATGAGTCAGTATGTTTTGTGGTAATACTGAACTAGATCATTACCAGTAAGGTTTGCTCAGGAATAGGAGAAGAACATATTATTCTCAGTCAGCACTGATTTTTCAACCATCACTCAGTCAAGCCTTGTTCTCAAACACCTTGTTGACAGGTATATAATAAAGCTAAAGATATCTCTGATGCCCTCAGTGTTCTCCACACTAAACATTATTTTTGCAGTGTTCTACTTCCGTACAAAGAGAAATATTCTCAGGCTCGTGTCTGAGATGTTTACAGTCAGATTCCTGTCCTCTGCTGCATTAGAGCTGCACGTTTTCTCACTGACACAGCAGAGAGGCGTGTGCTGCCATTGACAGAGGAAACCACTCCAAAACATCAAAGGTTACTGAGATGCCAAAGTTCAGCAGCAAGAGTAACATGAACATTTTTGTATGATCCTTTTTACATAATAAAAAATACTTTACTCTCTCTCCCTGGGGCAAACATAATTATTTTCCTATTATAAATTGCATTCAATATTGGCCTGAAATAAAAGTTTAGAACAGCAGCATGAAAAATCCACAGATCCCTGATTTAAGTGTAGATATTTCTATTCTGGCAGAGGTGACAGGTAGTAGTAGTAGTACACTAAGCTTTGAATAAAAAACCAAGCACTTACCTGTGCTGCCTGTCAGACTGAACATAAAGAGTGGACAGTAATATTAAACCTGTACTGCCTACTGCATAATACATACATACATAGAGTGGATGGATGGGATCAAAAGATACATTCAGGTTCATATAGGTCAGAAAGGTGCTTAAAAAGTAATGTTGGACTGACCACATGGCAATGAGTGATGTCACACTAGATATTTTGCTGTTGGCACTTTGGGAGTATGGAAAAACATAACATCACATAACTAATGGAACTCAACCATCACTAATTTTAGTGATTTTCCTGCTGTGACGAGTCAAAATGCCTCGGACAGGGCCTGTCATGTTGTCTCTATACATTCCCTATAACTCAACAGTATTCAGCAGAACAGCATGGAGCCTGTTTTAAACTGCTGAGAGCTACAGCATGATTTCAGTGACCTTTGGCTGATCTGATTTTTGTAAGCAGGACATCAGAGGCAATGAATCTGCATGCATGAGGCAACACTCAAACAATGCAGAAAAGAAATCCCCAGAATGTGTAGACCTCTGCTCATTATAATGTGCAAAGAGGGCATCGGTGTAGTCACACGTTGCTGCACATGAAGTGAGCAGATGAGAGTCGGTTCAACAACTGAGTCTTCTGAGCAGTATTGTCCCTATGTATGAGTTCCTAACTGCATTGAATAACACTTATATATCCAAAAAATTGAATTATTGTAGACTTTTGGCCTTTTGGAAATACATTTCCACGAGAATATCTACATCTTCTAACTTGTGTTTTTAGTTTGAGCAAGCATTAAAGGTTACATCCTTACACATACTGCCAGTGGCCACATCTCAGGTTCATCCTAAACATCTGGATGCTTGCGTCCGCGCGCACTCCCACTGACATTAAGCCCTCAGGTGCACGCAAACACTCACCTTCCAGCCGGCGGAGCTGTTGCTGTCCCCTTTATCCTTGAAGTAAGGCACACTCTTGACCATCCAGTCGTATATCTGAGACAGTGTCAGCCTCTTCTCGGGTGAGCTGTCTATCGCCTTGGTGATGAGGTCAGCGTACGACATGTTGCCCCAGGCGTTGCGACGGGACGAGCTGCTCTTCCTCTGGCCGCAGCCGCCCAAGGGTGCGACACCGGGAGGAGGCACCTGTTGCTGAGGCGGCAGCTGCGGACCCGGCAGCT